TGCTTTCTCTCGTTCACTTAATTCAGTATTCTCCATTAAATTTTCCACCTTCTTCTTAGCTTTTTCCAATTTACGCATCGCACGTTTCTTCTTCCTCGCTTTAGCTTCCAAAACCTTTCGGATCGGCCTAACATTGAGATCTTCGACTTTCTTTTCATATTCTTCTACGAGTTCCTTCGGTACAGGTGCATCTTTTTTCATGTGCTTCTCTTCGTCTTGTACAAACCAATCTGGTAAATTAGTATCATTAAATGCATACCTGTTCCAAGCACCATCGATTAAATCTCGTCGAGCTTTCTTTGATTGTACCATAAGAGAACCCAACGCTAGATCTTGCACCGATAATTTTCTTTTCTTCATTTTTTCAGCTGAGAAACAGAGACAAAAAAAATGAAGATAAGTGTCATATTAATTTATAAATAAATTTTTATTTATTTTACTTACTAGTATGTTCTTTCGACACTACTTCGAAACCGTCCTTTCCTCCTATCTTTTTAACTTGTTTATTTGGCGCCATCATTTCTTCCACGTCGTAGTTAGAATCCGTATCGTCGTTCTCAACGTTTGATTCCACATTTGTGTCATCATCATCATCATCATCACGGTCTTCTTGTTCCATTTCTTTCCTTTTTTCTCCCACAATTTTGCCACCCTTTTTCTTATAAGTTTCAATCATTTTATCTAATTCAAAATCTTCATCCTTCTCGTCCTCCAAATTTTTAAACACATCTTTCTCGAACCATAACTGAGCTCTGTGAATTCTTTTAGTTTTTTTATCTCTATGATCGAGATCAGTTAGCAGTGGATTGGTTTCTTCCTCGTCTTCAATCTTTGTTGCCTTTCTACTACGTTTTTTCTTGTCATTCTTATCTTCTTCATCTTCTGACGAACTGAAACCTATATGAATAATAAATCAAATTGATTAATTAATTGAATATATTATCTATGAAAATAATTATTATATATATATATATTAATACCTAATCCAGATTTGTCGCTGTCTGTATTTTCATCATCAGATTTTTCAGACTCGCTATCATCTGATTTGTAAAACAATCCAGAACTATCCAAATGTCCTTTATCCTTTTCGTATGCTATCTTTTTTGGTTTCCTTTTATCTTCATCAGAATCATGATCACTTTCCGCTACAAAATCAGGACTTTGATCCGTAACAGTTGCCAATGCTTCGTGGGTTTTGATTTGGGTTAAACTGAACATATCATCTCCTTCCAACATGGGTCCTTCATCTCCTTTGTGAATCATTTTAAGATTCAAACGTTCGTTCAACTTTTGTCTTTCCTTGGCCACTTTTTTTTTCTTCCGTTTCAATTCTTTCTGTTCTTCGGCACGGACCTTTTCTATTTCATTCATAATTTTTTTATCTTCCAAATCTTCTAATTCGTCAACAGTTAAAGGCATGGTTGTTTCTTCCGTCGTTTCTTCTTCCACGTCTTTTGATTCCGATTTGGATTCGACAAATATTTTTCTCATAACTTTCCACCAATTAATTAACAATCGTAATTCTTTACGACCAAGTACTTTGATATCTTTACAACATTCTTTTATTTCCTTCGTTGTTTTTTCGTGATTTCCTATTTCATCGTCGTTTAATATTATTGCAGATGTTTTTTGTAATGCTTCAACAGCACTTTCATAATTGAGAAAATCTTTTACAGAAATTGGATGATACAATGTGTAATCATTTTCTGGATATCCTTCAGCCTTCGCTTTCTTCTGTTTTTCTGGATGAAAGACATCCAACTTGTTCGAAGGTTCTAATTGTAATTCTGAGAATACATATTTTGGATCTAAAAATTTAGGATCTATCTTGTCAGGTGCAATATAATGTTGACAGACTACAAAAATTTCAGCTGATTCACTACGAGAAGCTTGAGGTTTTGTTGCGTGTACCTGAAAAAGAAAAAATAATTAATCAATTAATTTATTTATACTATAAAATGTTAATGCATATCAATTATTACTTATTTATTTTAACAGCTATTTACCTTCTTGAACAATTGTTTAAATACCCAGATCAATGGATTATAATCTTTCGATCTGAATACTTTAGTAATAAACCATCCCCCAGGTCTCAGAAATTGTGTGGCTACTTTAACAGCGTGTAAAGTTAAAACTGCTTGTTGATATGCATCATGTAACCAATTTTTACCAACATTGGGTGCTCCATCATTTAGAACAATATCTGCTTTCCAAGTTTTTAATTCACGAGTTATTGCAACTCTACATTTGTCAGTTGTAATATCTTCGACTAAACTAATACAACCGGGTATCGGTTTGATGGGAAACAAGTCTACGCCTATTACTACAGATGACATTGGCATATTTTGTCGTGCCACTTGCATCCACCCACCAGGAGCTGCACACAAATCTATGCATACTCGAGATTTTTGGAGGAACTCGAATTTACGATTAAGTTGAATTAACTTAAAAGCGGCACGTGATCTGAAACCTAAAAATTAATGGAAAGAAAGAAGAAGAGATTAATTTTGTAATTTTGTTAAGTATATACAAATAGTACATAATAGTATTTAAAAATTTATATACCTGTTTCTTTGGCTAGTTGATAATATTTATCCTTCCTCTGCTTTCCAATTTTTCCTTTTTTACCCATTTTGAGGATTGAAAAATATTTCTAACTAAATAAGAAATAAATTCAATTTTAATTTTTCTTCTAGCACAATTTTATTTTTTCTTATAATTTAATTTTTCTTCACTATTAATTAAACACAATTAATAAAAAGGTTATAACATGTGGTTCCAAGCACGCCGATTACAAACATAACCTTTATAAAATGATTTTTCAAGACAGAGTACGACATAACCCATAAACGGAAACGAACTTAAATGAGTGGTACAGTACGATAATCTAAAATGTAGACATAATCGATTGTTGTCATTTTCGATATAACTCGAACTTCTGTATCGATTTTTTCTTAAGTCGATAATAACAAAATTAAATCTTAGAAAATACACAATCAAACCTATATGCATAGAAATATTTTTAAAATTTATACATATAAAAATTAATTCTTTCTAAAAAGATCAATCCATTGATATTTCAATTTAAAAATAATATTATGAATTAATTTTTATATTTAAAAAAAGAATTTTATTGTTTTAAACGCCACCTGACCTTGTAGATAAAGAATTAAAAACGTAGGCAGTATTTTATGTTAAAATTTGGAACCTGTGATTAGAACTCTTTCAACAGTAGAATTAAATATGTTTTTATTTATTTAATATACTTCAATTTCATTTCAATATTTCGTCTTAAATCACAACAATCAAAAAGTTGTACAGTGTAATTAAATACTATACTAAAATACAAAATTTTATATGAATGTACAAAAGATATTTCATCAAAATGGAATTGATGTATCATAGATTTATCCACATATTGAAAATAAAAGTTTAAATAATGTTTTAATATTTTATTATTAATATTTAATATTGATAAAAACTAGTATCACAAAGAGAAAAAAATGGCGAGAATTCAATGGTCTTTGAGACAAGCACCTAGGCAAATAAGGTACAATTATTTAAATAAAATGATTGCTTTAAATAAAACATTAAATGAATGATTTTCTATTTAAGGCTGAATATTAAGAAAAAATGGTGGCGTTTACAATTAACATGTAAATCATTATTTTATAATGACTTTTTGGATTGGAGTTACGTGTGTGATATACTCTTGGAACCAATGTTTTGGTTTGTTGAAAATTTTACTGCCTGTTTAGGACCAGTAAGTTTTTCCTTTTGATTTTATCTATTTCAAAATAGAAAGATCATCCGAATATACAGTAGGTGATCAGTTGATAAACTATTCACCTAGCAAACATTGTCTTTGAATTGATTATGTTAATTAACCGATCACTCATTGTATAAATTTCATGATTTATATTTAAATATCATTTAGTGTTCACAATATATTTACTAAACTTCACAGCCTTTAGGTATGTGTAGTAATGGTAGCTTTATTAAAAGTATGCATTGTATGCATTGCATATTGGATTGGGTTACCTTATTGGTGGGAAAAGAGCCCACTAGCAACAGTATTTTTACTACTAATTGGAAATTGGCTTCTTATCAATGTATGTTTCCACTACTATATGGGTGTAAACGTACCAGCAGGATATCCACCGCAGGGCGGTCTTATTCCTGAGGCTGTGAGTATTTGTAAAAAGTGTATTAAACCTAAACCTCCTAGAACGCATCACTGTTCTATTTGTAACAAATGCGTGCTCAAGATGGATCATCATTGCCGTATCCTTTCTGAATATTCAAATATATTTTATATAATATAAAATAAGAAAAACAGTACTACCAGCATACAAGTTTTATAAATTTCTTAACTATATTTATAGCATGGCTAAATAATTGTGTCGGTCATTATAATCACAGACACTTTTTTCAATATATGGCTTTTACCGTCGTTGGAATTTTATTCATTATGATATTTGGAATAGAAATAGCATATCAAGAATTTTTTCCAGCACATGAAGCTGATCTAGATGGTCATCCAGTTCGTATTAACAATACAGAGATCATTCCTGTGGTATATTTTTACATTATATATTAGACAATTTGTTTTTATTATTTAAAATAATTACCAATAAAAGAAATATATGTTTTTTTCAGGCAGAATCGTTAGATCATTTATCCAAAGAAGAGATAGCAGAAATTGCTAAACAAGCTGCCGAAAATAAAGAAAAGGAATGGAGACGTAGACTAATCATTTTTGCAGCTTTAATTTGTGTAGCTACGTTTACAGCACTGGGAGCACTTACATGGTGGCATGCAGGTCTTATTACAAGAGGAGAAACTAGTATTGAGGCACGCATTAATAGCACTGAAACAAAAAAATATAAAGAGCTTGGAAAATCATATCAAAATCCTTATAATTTTGGACCGAGGGAAAATTGGAAATTATTTTTAGGCATTGTTAAAAGGTAATATTATTAAAACAATTTAGTATTTTATTTTTATCTCTATTTGTATATTTATTTATTTATTTATTTATTTAATATACCACTTAAATATTTTCAGAAGTTGGTGGTATGTTTTGTTTCCTTCAACTCATGGGCCATATGGAGATGGTCTTACATGGAAAACGATACACGATAATAAAATATCTTGAGTTTAAAATTGAAACAATCCTGAAAAGAATGTGATGTAATTATCTTTTAAATGTTTCTCCGGTGTCTACCATATGATTCTTATTCCTATGAGATTCTAGTCAAACTATACATTTATGTGCACGATATCGATGATCATGCATTTAAATACACAAAATATTCGATAGTTGTTATACAATGCAACATCTGTTTTTTTTTTATATACACATATATATATATATATATATATACATTTCCTAAATCACTGCAGATATAAATATCATCGTTCGTAATTATATATTTACTTTTTCAATGAAAGTATGTCTTTTTCCAATATATATATATATATATAAAAAAAAGTAAATGAAAAAAAGTAATACAGATAAAGACAATGTAATCCGTCTAAAATTTATCAGTTATTTGAATAAATTAAATTTTTTACCTTTTGTAAGATATCACAATATTCATTTGAGCTACTCTTCTGGCCAGACAATATCCTCTATCCAATTAAGATAATATGAGACTCTTGTATACACACCAGGTGAATTTTCAATCGCACAACCTGCGCCAAAACTTGTAATTCCAATAACTTGGTAAAGACATGAATATCTTGGATGTAGTCTTTGTAAAGGGCCACCAGAATCTCCTTGGCAAGTATCTTTAATATCATCCGCATTATAAAGATCATCTTTACTATTAAGTTGACCCGCACATATCATACTAGGTGTTATACCATTTGGGATTCTAAAGGTACTATTATATCTTAACGAACATGCAATATTACTTATCAAATCAAGTTCTGCTTTTCGCAATTTTTTACTCGGATTACCAACTAAAAATTGTTTAAAAAATTTATGATATATAGATGATAATATTACTTAAATATTGAATATACCATAAACTTACAATATTTTGTAGCACCCCAGCCGCTAACCCAAGCTGTTGAGCATAATTTATCGTACTGTTGATAAAGACACGCTGGTCTGATTAAAGTACTAAATTCAACAGCTTCTTGTAATTTAATAAGAGCTATGTCTGCATATATTATAGGAGGCTTGTAAAATGGATGTCGTATTATTCTTTCTATATGAATCATAATTCCAGACTTCTTATCCTCTATATTATGAAGACCAACTCTCACAACATTTGGAGCACCGCTATAACATTAAATATTACAACATGTATAATCGGCAATGTTATATAAATTAATAAATCTTGAACAATATTCTTTAGTTGCATAGAAAAATAATTTACTTTGGCCCATGAGAGCAATGTGCAGCTGTAAGTACCCAATAAGGTGAAATTAATGTGCCTCCACAGATAAACATAAGAGATCCGTCCTTTAGTATTTTCTCTAATGCAGTCATATGTGGAAATTCACCAGGTGTTGCAATCTCGCCGCCAGTTATAAGTGGATCAGACCTTGTGCATTGTTTTTCTACTTGGGTAACTTGTGGATTATTAGCAACTAAAGATTGTACTTTCGATATAACCAGAAATTGTTTATTGTATTCTTCACATTCTATAATATATTTTATTTATTAGTAACATTAAAATCAATAATAAATTTTGCTCCGTTAAAATAAACTTACTAATATCCGATATCGTTTTAGAAATGTATTCGTTCAAAATTTCTGAACATTTAGATTGATTTTGAGGAGGATTTAAAACATGTTTCTTGTTATTATTAACTATATCGGTAATATTAGAAACATTTCTTTGATTAGGAATATTTTGTTGATTACGAACATCCATTATTGTAGACATATTAGTTAATAAGTTAGAACTATTCTCTAGTTTGTTCAAAAAAGGTGCTAAAGTAGATGTAATTGCTGAATTAAAGAAAGGATTATGACTGTACGATGTACTAGTTCTATTTATGTCATTCATTGTTTCATTATTATCCATTAATAATGAATTATTTTCTGAATTAAGTTCACTGATATTAAACGATAAATTCTTACTTTGCGAAGAAGTATCTATAAGGAATGGGTTGTCACGATAAGTATTAGTTATATTTTCTTCAAAAAAAGGATTATGAATATTTAAAATCACATGATAGGAGCCATTGTTCAATCTTTCTAACATAATGGAAGAATCTAAAAATATTTAAAAATATCTATTCATTATTTTTATCTACGTAGTTTTATATAAATTAAATGCATGATGTATATAATAATAAATAATTAACCTGGATTTTTGGAAGATGTTACATTGTTCCTTGTAAACAATAGATTAAAAACAAGGATGAAATATAAACGTATTGATGGAAATATCATGATTGTAAAGTAAACATTAAACGACTAAAGAATACGTATATCAAAGTTCAATAATAACGATAATAACTTTTTAAGCGAGATAATAAGCCAAGAAGTGCCAATGTCAAATTAATAGAAAGATAAAGCAAAGATACATCCTGATCAATCTATTCTTTTCTTTTTCTTCTCTAGTATTTTATCTCTTATAGTCAAAGATTATAGTTAAACTATATGTATATATATACATATGTTTACATATGCGAATCATTTTCAAGTGATGATGTATTATACATAATTATTTAGTAATTACTACACGTATTTCTGAAGAAAGGTTTATTTTTATATTATTCTTAGGAAATTATCATTCATGTATATTTGAGATTAACGAAACAATAACTTTTTCATTTTCTTTTTACCATAATAAATGTAAAAAAAAAAAAAGGTGTAGGAAAAATATATTAATTATATGTAATAATATAAATAATTGTTACTTCTTATATTTATATATATATATACATTATTTTTTTAATTCTTATATATAGAACATTTGTTTTTACATTTTAATATACATACATTTATTGTGTATAGAAAATATCACTATTAAAATGTTATGGTTATGTTTAATAATTATTTGTAATCATATAAATGATAAGATAATATGAATGATTATTTTGATTAATTAAACATCGAGCTGTTCTTTTTCTAATATAAATTAAAGAATTTTTAATTAGAAATTTATATAAAGCAATAATCTACTGTACCAAAAATGTTGACAACTGCAACCATGATGAAAACTGTTACCTGGAGGACCCATATATGTATCCATAGTAAAGAAAGGGTTAAACATGAGTATCTCTCGAATAAGAAAGTCAATGTTATTTATCTTCATTTAAAAAGTTTTTCTGAACACTAGATATCACTAACACACACACACACGCGCACATATCGATTATGATATTAAGAAAAAAACATTATATTAAATAATAATTAGTAGTAAATTTGATTACAAATAGAGATAAAAAGATGATTCATTTATTATCTGATTACTATTGTTATTATATTTAATCTATTTCATAAGCCCCTCGATTAGGCAACTGATAATACAAGTAAGATAAACGTAAATCGAAAATTAGGAACTAATTTATAATTTGTGTGTACTTGTTTGAAATTTATTTAATATATAATTATTTATAATTTATTATATTGTAATATTAAATATTAAATTGTTGATGGGAATAAATGGATTAATAATATTCTTTAAATTGGTGCTTTAATGATCGTTCCCTTAAATTCGGAGAGGGGAAGTGACGTCAAATAAACATGAAAAGCTTCATTAACTTTCACAGAACACCGTTTAGTATTCTTTTCGTACTCGTCGAACGAGCAACGTAGCTCATTCTTTTCCAGTTAGTATACTTCATTCATATTTATTATTTTGTTTAATTAAAATTTATTTTTACCAATATTTCACTATATTAATTAAATTAATATTTAAATAACAATACACGTATATTCGTTTCATTTTAATTCATTTCAAAGTTTTTCGAAATAATTGATAGTTTCAAAATATAATTTTAATTTATTTAAACAATATCTCACGTTCGTATATATTATATATTAAACTAATATTTAAATAATAGTAGAATTATTTAAACATTTTAAAAGACGAATATAAAAGATGGTAATTTTAAAATCACTTTAAATCAGTTCATAGTTTTCTCAAATAATAAATAGATCTATTGAACTATATTTACTAAACTTTCTTTACTTAAAATATAATCTCTGTTCTATACATTTTATAAATATTGAATGTTTTTATTTTAACAATTTGTATATTCATTAATATTTAAATAATATCTTTAATTACTTATTAAATTACAAATTACTAGATTACGTAAGAATAATCTCTCTCTCTCTCTCTCTTCCTCTTTTTAACTGTTTGCCCTTTAACCGAAGATAAATAGAATCAAGCATAACAATATTTATTTAAAATTGCAGATAAAAAGGTTCAAACCGATAATACAAGGCTATAAAATACACCATTAATAATCAGAACAATCTTATTCTGATTATCACTAATTCTGTTAGAAATATGCACAATAACTAGTGTCCGCAATTTTGTATTTAAATTGACGTTTACTGTACAATGTACTCAGCAATGTTCTTCAAAATATTATATATATTTTTATTATTCAATCGTTTGATTGGCAATTTCGTTAATTGCCAACAACATTCGCCGAAAATCGTTATCGTCGGTGCTGGTACTTCTGGTATTGCAGCAGCTTCGAAATTATACGAAAATGGATTAGAAAATATTCTAATCCTAGAAGCACAAGATAGAATTGGTGGACGTGTTTACACTACTCAATTTGGTATGTAATTATGATTTACTATGTGTTATATCAGAGTTTAATAATAATAATTATTATTATTATTTTTTGTTTTAGGTGAATACGTAATAGATCTCGGTGGACAATGGGTACACGGACAAAAAAATAATATTGCATACGAATTGGCTGCACCACTTGATTTATTAGAAAATTCAACTTGGCATTTAGCTACGTTTGATTCTACGGGAGCTAAGATTGATGATCAAATTTTTATAGATACCATGAATATTTATGAACATGCTTTCGATAATATCAATATATCTGATTCTAATATTTCTGCTGGTGAATTTTTGGAACAAAAGTATATATCATATATTATTGTATTCTCTTTTTTTTTTTTTTTATAATCATTTATATTTACCGAGTAATTAAATGTAACGTTAAGTTTTATTTGTAAATTTTAATAAAATTTACATTTCAGATTCGCGGATTACTTTAACGACCATCCAGAAATAAATGCAACTCTTCAGAATGAATTATTATCATTTTATAATTTAGTAGAATGTTCATTTTCTGCATCAGACAGCTGGTACGAGCCATCGGTTAATGGAGAAATAGAATATGAAATGTGCGAGGGAAATCTTTCTATTAATTGGAAGAAACGTGGATATAGTACAATTTTAGATATTCTAATGGTAAAAACGTTTCTATATATTATGAATTATTTTAATTTTATTTTATTATTTATATATATATATATACGTGTGTGCTTATGCAGAATATGATATAAATAAGATATATTTGTTATTATTTTCAGAAAAGATATCCAGATCCGAGCAAAGAATTGCCAATTATGAACAAAACACTTCTGAATTCAGAAGTAATTAATATTGATTATTCAGGAAATAATTCAATTAAAATTCGAACTAATACTGAAGAATATTTAGCGGATCATGTTATAATGACACCATCTTTGGGTGTATTGAAAGCAGATTATAAAACTTTGTTTACTCCTTCTTTACCGGAATCCAAAATTACAACAATCAATGTACAAGATATTTATTTCTCTTCCTGTCTTTTTTTTTTTTTTTAAATAATTTATATACTTTTCTAATTTCTTTATAGGGTCTCGCTTTTGGTACCGCTTGTAAAATATTTCTTCATTTTGACGAGCCCTGGTGGGAATCTAATTTAAATTGGAGATTTAATTTTCTCTTCAACGAAACTTATAAAAACGAAATAGAAAACGATGTAAGTAAATAGAATATAAATGCATTTACTTTTTTTTTATAATGCATATTTAATATTATATTATGCGTTTTAATTATTTAGCCGGACAAAAAATGGATTACGAATACGACGTTCTTTGGTAGTGTAGAAAATAAACCTCATTTATTACTCGGTTGGGTAACGCCAAAAGGATGCCGTTTCTTGGAGACGCTTCCCGATGACAAAGTTATTGAAACTTCCATGGAAATGTTGCATACTTTTTTGGGAAAACATTATAATATTACAGAACCTAACGCAATAATAAGGTATTCAATGAATTTCTTTTTTTAAATAACACAATTTCTCATCGATATAATTTTTCAGGAGTAATTGGACGCACAACAAACATTTTCGTGGAACTTATAGTTTTCGAAGTCTTGAATCTGAAAAAGTACACGCAACGGCGGAAAAACTTTCAGAACCTATAATTAAAAATCAACGTCCCGTACGTGTGACTAATAATTTCTTATAATTATAAAAATATTCTTCGTTTTTTTAATTTATTTTTATTTGTTTTTTTTTTTTCCAGACGATTTTATTTGCTGGAGAAGCTACAAGCAAACGTTTCTATTCGACTGTACACGGTGCGATTGATTCTGGATGGAGGGAAGCGGATAGAATTATAAAACTCTATGCAGAAACTTTATAAATAGATTATTTAACATTAAAAAAAATATATATATATATATGTATATAAAAAACGTATGTACAGGTATTGTGCTCCGAATAAACTTTTACATGGATTCAAATATTAGGTTGTCCCATAAGTTTCTTGCTTTTTTTTTGATGCGACTTTAATAGACAATATTTGTTGTTTAAGGTTGAATTACTGTGTTATATATGAACCGTTTCGCTCTATTACTTTCTTACATCTCTCAGAAAGCCTCATTATGCCCTCTTTCCAAAATTGTTGAGACTTACTTGCAACAAATGCTACTTTTGGCTATCCATATTAAACGGCGTAAAAAAAGATTTTAAAAGAGATTTTGTCAGCAACGAAACGTACCCTGAAAGAGCTGTGTGAGACGACTGAAATCGATGCCATAAATGGATAATAGATAATGGATTTGCGAAAGGGTGAATTTGGATTTAAAAAAAAAACAAAAAAGATTAATTTGCCAAAAGAATTAATTTTGAATACAAGACTTACTAATATTACATGCATTATTAGTAATACATTTTAGATAATAGAATGATTTTTGAAAATTTGATAAAAACTTTTATATAAGTATGATTAATATATTTTAGAGAAAAATAAGAATAAATAAAAAAAATAGAAAAGAGAAATTAAGTTTCAGTTACATGATATTTTAGAAATAGATTAGCCTGTTTTATTCCAGTTTCATAAGCCCCATGCGCAGTGGAATAAAAAGTTTCATGCGTTGCTTCACCAGCAAACAACATTATTGGTAGAATCTATAATAAATAAAAAAATATAATAAAGGAAATAATAATATCAATCGAAAAATAAATAAATAAAAGATATATTTTTTATAATATTACATATTTTCACACGGTTATCAATAAAAAAACTAATGAGATACTCATTGTTTACCTTAGAATTTTTGTCTACTGTTCTACCGCCAATTGGTTTTGCCAATGCAGCCGGGGTACACTTTAACTTCTCGCACGATGGCGTAAGGCTACTGTAACCACCTCTTATATATTTATTCGAGGACCATGCCGTTCTAATACATTCTTTCGCATTAGGTATATTATAGTCTTTAAGAAAATGCCTAAGCAAATTTGTACAACCGATTCCAACTTCTTCTTCGCTTATGCGTTCAATAATACGGGCGGATTTTCCGCCGATCCACCCAAGTAATAAACCTTTATGATTTTGCAGAACATCGAAACCTGTAAGATCTTTAGCCCACAGAGGTATAGTTCCCCTACCAAATACATGTACTTTATTTTTTTCCCAAACAAATTGAAATCCTTTGGTTTCTGGTTCCCACCAAGGTTCACCAAAATTAAGATATATTTTATTTATCGTACCAAATCCCATATTTATTATCGACAGTTGCTGCGACAAGGGTAAACGAGGTACAAACATTTTTTGGGCATGATCTTTCAAATAACCAAGGGAACAGGTTATTATTACGCATTTTGCAGTAATGGTTCTTGAATTGTCTAGTACCAAAATAATTGGCCTTTCAGATTGATTTTTAGTAAATTGTTTCCAATGTACTAATTGCACAGCAGTATTTAAAAGTATGTTTTTAGGAGGTATATCTTTGCTAATAACTTTTAACAATGATTCGTATCCAGACTTTATTGTAAGGTGTTCTGGGCCACCAGCAACTTTGAAATTTCCGTACATATTCACAGACAAATCATCTAACGTATCACAAGAATTGTCTATTGTAAGGTATCTAATGGCCCACTCAAAAATTCCTTCCTTAAGTTTCTTTATCTCGGGTTCATCTTTTGACTGCATTAAGTAATTATCAAATCGATTTCTCATCATCCTCCCAATATTTGAAAACGCCTCTCCAGTTATTTCGTCGACGTTTCCAGTTTCTTCTAATATATTATAGACAAAGTCTTTAACGTCTTGTACCAAATCATTATCGATTTTTTGCCCGTTATAAGTTATAAATGTACCATCTCCATCCTTAGATTGCATTTCGTACTCTATTTTGTTAGATTTACAAAATTTAGCTAATTCGCTTTGGTCGCCGTGTAAATATTGTGCGCCAAGTTCGATCCATTTGCCATCCATTAATGTGGAACTTAATCGTCCACCAATATTTGGTTGAGCTTTTGAATTAATATATAATATATAATTTATAATTATTTTTAATTCACAATATTCTGCTAAAATAAAAGCGCTCACCTTCTATTACAAGATAATTTTTATAATTAGCATCTTCTAAAGTTTTTGCAGCTGCTAACCCAGCAATGCCTGCCCCAACTATTACAACATCTGGAGTAAACATCGGTTCTTTTTCCATAGCTTCTTTTATTGGTAATTTTTGTAGCTCGCGTTGTGGGTTCCTTAATCAATCATATATATTATATTATAAACCATTATAATTGTAAGCTTAATTTGTAATATACGTTATCAAAAATTTTTTGCTGTAATTTTATATTTACTTGATTGATTTATTATTCACAATAAATATAATCTATCTATCCTATATATATAACGTAATAATTTTAAATAATATTAATTCAATTATAATCAAAAATATAATATATAAATATCTTGAGAAGTAATATATGCATATGTATGTAAAAACAAACAAAAAATAAGATGTATTATAAAATCTGTGCATTAAATATTATAATATCCTAGTAAAATATTCTAAGCATCAAGCAATATGACTAACACTACAAGTTATTATTCATATGTATATACTTGTTACGTAGTAGTTTCTAATTGGAAAAACAAAGATACGTCCACAGTTTACCATAATCCATTCATTAGGAAGAACGTAGTTTTGGATTAAAGATGAGATTATAATTGCCTAAGAAAAAGCATGCATATCAATAAAAATAGAACACATTAATAGTTATAATACAGTAAGATGTTCATTTGTGCTATTTGATTCATATGAATTAAAGCTTATTAATGCGTTTCAGCTTTAATAATGTAATTATTACGCGCAAACACAGATTAATTAAAATTTAATTTTTAATAAACTTGAATAATTCGATATGAAATATATAAAATAAAAATGAGCAATGTTAATCGTAGATTTGAAAAAATATATAGCAGAGCATTCCGTCGAATTTTAAACCATAATGTAATAATGCAATGTGCAATAATAAATCTTCAAACATAGTTAATGATTATAGACAATTTATCCATACCAATAATGAATCATTATTCTTTCTGCTTCACGTATTCCACTTTCGATAGCTCCATGAGCAGTTCCAAAATAAGTATCATGAGTTGCTTCGCCAGCAAACATTAAAAGCTGAAACGTAATAAACAGAATTGAATGAGATATTTAAAAATGATCAAATGATAATCTCAATATATTTACATACAGGTTTTCCTTTAGAAGACAAAATTGGGTTAGCAAGATCAAGTGGCTTTATAGATTTTATTTCAGCTAGTTTGGTTGGAAAACTTAAAGATCCAAGAAAAAAAGGATTTGTGAACCATGCCGTTCTATAAATAACAATCAATGTAAAAAATATTGAAATAAATAAATTTAATTTTTATATTCATGATTTGAATTACCTTTTTACTTTAATTGGTTCTGGAATCGTATAAAGTTTTCCAAAAAAAGTTTGCAGCAATAAATGTAATCCTTCGATAATTTCATCATCCATTAGCTGTTCTACCTCTTTAGCGCCGTTTCTCACAACCCAAGCACACAAAACATTAGGCTGATAATCTATCGTATAAAAAGCGAATACATCAGATAACCAATAATAACTCTGTAAAAAAGAACAAATTTCTTATTTATATAGATATAGAAATATAACTAAATAATATATTTAATAATAAAGACAAATTATATATGAATATAGCATACAAAACTAGTTTCTTGTAAAAATGTGCGCTTTTCTTCCAACGTCCAGGGACAACAAAAAACAGAAACATCATCGCTCCACCAGTGAGTTGAAAATTCGATGAATATTTTCTGTATAGTACCAAAACCTAAAGCCTGTACATATATAATATTTCATTTAATATGTTAACTGTTAAAAATATTTTCTTTTTATAATAAAATATATATATATATATATATTTATTTATAATACCTCTATGGCATTTACATTTTTTACAGGCAAGCGAGGTTTAAACATCATTTTATATTTTTCTTTTAATATTCCTAAAGAAGGTGTGAATATAACATGGTCAGCTTTATATTGAAATTGCTCATCTTCATCAACTTTAACTGTAACGATGACATCTTTAGGATCTGTGCAGTCGATATGGACTAATTCTTTTTTGAATCTAATTAATTTTATAACATCTAATGAATACTTAGATTTAGGGATTCTGTTCTAAAATAAGAAAAAACAATTTATAATGAGTAAAATTTATATAAAACAAAGACCTTGAGAAATCAAAAAGAGAAACAAAAATATACACAAGCACGCACACATAAAAATATACAAACATGCATGTGTTTTCAATATTTTTTCACAAACCGCTAGACAATCAAGTATTCTTATAAAACCGCGTGATTTCCAGTTAATATAATTGTCTCCTTGGCATTTCCAATAACTCTTTACACCTTTCCAATTAATATCATACCATGATGGTGTACATCGCCTGGCAGAATCTAATCGGTGTATCCATTGTACAAGAAGATCTTTTTCTTTTTGAGTACAATTGTTATCATCACACCATTCGGACAACCTACAAACAAATATAACATTTGTTGTTGTCGTTGATTTTCTTTTCATTTTTTTCTCTCTTATATATATATATATATGATTTATAATTATTAAAATATTCATTAACGATCGTTTCTTTTTTACTTCTCCATCATATAATCTCCGTAAGATCCAGGGGTTTCCATCATTTCCTCAAAGCGTTCAGAAAAATTATGATATGCCTTTAAAATTCCAGTACTAAGTTCTTGCTTAAATAAACTGCCATCACTTTTTGCAAATAAATATTGCTCGAAATTGTTCAATCCTTTGGAAGAAGAAAGCAATTGATGCGGATAAGCACAATTGTAAGCAATATTTCCATTTTCACCGTACACCCACTCTGCGCCCAAATCTATCACGTTATCTCCTAAATTTAAAAAGAGCAAAAATGCAAATTAACAAAAGATAGAAAAAACTAAAAAGACGATTTGCATGTACAATATTTTGTCAAAAATAAATTATTAAATGCAAGATAAGAGAGAAATTGAATACTTGCCAAATAGCGTGGTATATAATCTACCACCTACACGTGTATTAGCTTCAACTATCATAACATTTTTAAAACCCAATTTTAATAATGTAGTAGCAGCTGCAATCCCAGCAAGTCCAGCACCAATTATTACTATTCTGGGTTCGACATACGGAGTCTCTGATTTTTCAGATTCCTTTTCAAAAAATCAGATCACAAAGAATTCAATTATAAATGAATGTATATAATGAGTAAATAATAAATTAATGTAATACTAATATATCTCTGTATATGTACATATACTTTTCTAAAAATCTTATCAGTAAGTTATCTAATAAGTAAAGATCTTGATCAATGTATTAAACTATCTGGTTATTAATTAAAAAAAATCTACTGAGTTACTATACCTTACTATCCACTCCACTATCCGCCATTGTTAGTTGACTTTGTATAATTAAAAAGAGGTTAATTTAACGTTATTACTCTGTAAATATATATATACATATATATGTTATTAAGTTTATATACCGTCGACAGTCAATGACACATTACCAAGTAGTTTACCTTCAGCGTGGGAAATTTAAATGTAGAGTCAACGCCACTTACACCTTTAATCATATTTCGATATATCTCGAATTTAATATTCGATAATTGGTGTTTAAACATTTACACATTTAATGTGACAATTAATTTAAGATAAAGAGAGTATTTAATTATTATTATAATAATTTTGATACTTTAAAAGTCTAATTATTCATTAATTTTGTAAATAAGAATAAATTTCATTCTCAATCAATAACATTCTGCTATGTTAACCTAAAAAGCGGGAAAATTCAAACTTGATTTTATAATAACTAGGTATCATATGAAACAATTTTTAATTGTTTAAATTTAATTTTCATTTTATATTGTTTCAGGAAAGGATTAATTCTGATACAAGTATATATATATAAGGATTGTTTTTAAATAATTTATATAAATTAAAACTCATATATTGCAGATTATACGAAATAATGAATATCATCCACGATAAAAAAAAGCCTCCGAGAAAAACGCGAGTAAAAAATAAAAAACTTGTGAATTACTCGAATAGAGAAAAAACAAAAATGCAATGTTGCACTTTGAATCGAAGAGCTCTATTGTTTATAAAATATAAATTTACGTTTTATATAAAAATCATATTATCGTCCAATTTATTTCGACTTATAATTAAGATACAAATCTACTGAATGGTTTGACCTGACACTAATTGTAAAATATATAGCAGTAAGTTGACGAGGTGTATTTTATATATAAAAAAAAACGAATCAACAATCAAAGGACAAAAATAGAAATTTGCGATGATAGCAAATAAAATGATTTTTGATTAATGATAACGTTAATTGTTCAATCAAATTGAATGAAATCGGATACATCAGGTTCGGGGGGTGGCATATACCAGGGATCATCGAGTTCCCAAAGATCAGGATGAAGATCTTCTCGACCAAATGGTGGTTTATGTACTATTGGGCAATGTTCAACATTGAAAAATCTTTCCAACTCTTCCGGATCAAATGTTGGATATTTGAAGTATTCTGGACTCTTGTGAATGTGTCGTCGTGGTGCAGTAACTCTTGGTATTGCAACAGGTGATACATAAATTTCATCGTCGTCACTTATGTGTATGAGTTCTTCCTCGCGAAGAAATTCATCGTCAACATCCAATCCTGATTCCATTTCAGCGATTCTTTTAAATTCTTCATCCAATTTCCTAGCTACTCCGCTTTCTTTCATAGCAACTAGAGTTTTTTGCATAAATTCACGAGCTGCCTCGACGATCGGATGATCTAAGGTATATTCAATACGGAGATAAGGATCATCCAAATCCGGTATTCTATAAAAGATGATTACAATTCTTTTATATATTAAGGGAAACTCTAATTTATTACGTAGGAATAAAAAAAGAACAATTTTAAAGGTATTGAAACCTGTGAAGATATCTTGGTGGTGTACTAGGTTGTACAGGAGCCATGTCTTCTATAGTAGCAACCTGTCCACTGACATTCGCTACGGTTATTATAAAATCTCTTCTTGCTTGTTGCAAATCATCTAGCTTCGATTGTACAGCTACAGCCTCAGCAGCATCTTGTTCGTCCAAGGTCTCGCTAATAATCATTTAACTTAACATACGCGTCTGGATATTTAAATTAATCTCACATATGCGCAATTATTTGTTTAATTATTATCGAAAAGGGATGGAAAACGTTTTCAGAAATGTGATCGATTTTGTGTAAGGCACCTGATAACTTGCATCGAACGATTGGCTATTTGTGAAACAATAACTTCCACTGGTTGGGGTATGCTGATGATCGTAGTACGATTATCTTTGATTGAACCTGGTGGTATAACGATACTGTCGATCGGTCCTTTACCTATCGGTTCAGCGCGAACAACATCTGCTTTGATAGTCTTAGCAAGCTCACGAGTTTTTTCTGGTATTGCTGGCAATGCTTTTCGTCTCTGAGAAGGTTCTCTTCTTGCTACCCTTTCTCGACCCATTCTGATTTAAAAGCAACAATCATATCACTCGATTTAATATTGAAATATCTTTCTTACAAACCTAGCATCACCACCAATCGGTGCTGGGGTTCGTCTAGGCCCACGACCCACTTGCGCTGAATGTTGTTGCATCTTACGTTCATAATCTTGCTTTATTTTTTCCGCATGTTTCACTCGTGCTAACATCGTTTTCGTCAAAGCTGGCTTACTGAAATCAATTTTTTTCGGCTCGTGAACCGGTTTTTTTCTTCCCTTTGGTAAATCCACTCTGGGTTTGCCAATAGTTTCTTTCGTTTGCCTTTCCTCATATTGTTTAACTAAAGCTGCTGATTTTGCTTGACGCAAGGCTTGGGTTTTTGTTATACCTGGTCTGCGGGTTGCCATTATTAATTAAAAACCTACTCGTAACCGGTTAAATTATTTCCTTGTCATTTATTGGTATCAGACTTGTAAGTTGATTATCCTTAAAGATTAATGACAAATAAACGATAAATCGTACGCGTTTTAATTAATATTCTTAAATAATCATGCATTACCCAATTAAATAGGATTTCTCTCTTTTTTCGTGATTTTCGTTAATAATTTATCTCGTTGATAATGAACAAAATTAACCATAAAATTTGTCATCTCTCAAGTTACGATTTTAACAATCCATAATCGTAGATATCATTCATATAAAAATATAATTAATTTATTTTTACATTAATGCGCCAATCACTGATTACGAGAATTTAAATATTTATTTGGGCCTGAAAGGTTGTGTGTGTGATCAGATTTGACAAGTAGAAGGTTTGAATTTTCTGACACAATGTGCCATATTAATAAAACATCATTTGTTTTTCAAAATCCCATTAAACGAAATAAACGAAAATCTTTTCTATGGATATTCGCGAAACTCATCTTTCTAAGATTGCATGGATCATTTTAAACAAATCAAAATATTGCATTTCTTTTGAAAATTCTTAAATTAAAATACACGAACTCTCTATGGTCCGTAACGATGAAGATTATTAATCAAAATTATTATTTCATATAATTATGTCGAGAAAAATATTTGATAACTATGATAGAACTATGGAGACTTCGAATAAATATTCGAAAAATAATAAAACGGAATATTCTTTTGATTTATGTAAAAACAAATACTTAGAACAATCATCTGACATCGTACCATGTCCTGGAGGATGTTTGTATAAATCGATACAATCGGAAATCAATTTTCGAGACAGTAATAGTTTCCTTACTGAAGATTCGACATCTTCATTGAATGTAATTTTGTAAATGATTCACACGTATTGTTAAATAAATATTCTTTTTTCTAAATTTTATATTATATTTTAGGTACGTCAATCTAAATTAATTAAAAATAATGACGTTGATATCGATGACATTTTACAATCTAAAATAAAGTGTCCTAATTTGTACAAATCCTTGGAGAAACAAGACAAATACGATAAGGTCATTTGTATAACACATTTACAATAATTTAACATATGTGTGTATATAATTTTAATATTAAAAAATATTATATAATTAAATAAGAAACATAATTATATTTTAGATTCGTGTGTGCGGTATAATAATCAGTACAGTGATGAAAATTGCTAAACAATCTTATACAAATATTACAACGGAGCATGTAAAATGTACGGAATCGTATTTTAACAATTTAAAAGGAAAAAATGGTCATCCACACAATATTTCGAAGATTTTACAAATTATAAAAAATTTGAAAAATTCTGGTATGATCGAACACGCGAAAGAGACCGAGAAAAATCATTTTCAAGGAAGCAAAGAAGATATTTATATAAACGATCTTATTAATCGATAAATTAAAGAATATACAAAAATACAATTAATTGTTTTTATTTTGTGTTATAATTATTTGCGCTATAAGTTAAAAACTTTTTATATAGTCCGACTTCGTATCGATTCCAAGTTCAAATTGTAAAACTTTCGTATGATTTCTTCATAATAAATGAATATGACTAATTATAAAAAAAATAATTGAAACATTATAGAGAGATATAAAAATATTGTAATAGTATCATGAAAAATGTAATCTTTTAAGGTTAATTAAATTTTGAAAAATGTTAACTACATGAATTTTCGTATACATAGTAAAAAATAAAAATGGATGAATCAAAAAATAAAAGTACAGATAAAGAAATTTCTATCATTTCTAAATCAGAAAATTTTACAGAATCAGAAATGACCATAATTCCTCAATTAGAAAATGATAAGGAAGAAGAAACTGTCGAGTCAGATAAACCAGAATTCATTTTAACAGATGTTAATCGTATCGAAGAAATAGAACCAAATGTCGATAAGAAACCGTAAGAAAATATCAAAATAAAAAGCAAATATAGACATTAATGTATTTAATCAAGACGTTATTATTTTTAATAGCCAAGAAGTAAAAGAAATCATCGATATCTACGATTTCGAGCCTGTTTTGTATTTCTTTAAAATATTTCCAATATCATTCGATAATCGGCATTATCAAGATCATGTTTTCGGTGTAATATGGCTACTGTTTTCTAAAAAACAGAAAAAATCTCCAAGTATAATATTTCTAATACATTTATATATAATTAATATTCTATATTAAAATTAAATGGAAATAATAAATGAATTTTATCAGGTATTCCACAATTGCACTGGTGTTTAACATTTTTACAAGAATTAAAAAATAGAGATGGCACATACACCAATGATATTAATTTGTGTATTCAAACGATTCAAGACAATCTTATTGAACAATACATCAAATTAGGAATTTCTTTAAAAGATACAAACGAAAATATGCAAGATCATGAACAATTAATGTCAAAATCAACGTCCACATTAAAACATAACGAACCAGAGTTAATTAATACGGAAGAAAATAAAGTATTACAAGATGAAATTATGAACGATGATAAAATTGGTGAACAATCGATAATTGATCCACAAGAAATAAAACAATTAGATGATATTAAAACAATTCCTAACGGGAACACGGTTAGTTATTAGAAAATGAAATTTTACTTTTATTTATCGAATAATTCAATTTGTAGAATGAAAAATTAATTGAATCTACGAATGATGATTTTAATTTGAAATCGTGTGGAAAATCATGCGAAAGGAAAGGATTATTGAAAGAGCATAAAATAATGAGTTTAACATATAGCGAAATGCTCTCGAGAGGATCATTTCCTTGCATTGAAGAAATGAATCATCAACATGATATATTGCTCGGAACTTGTACTTCGTTTGGTTCATTTAAAAAATTTATGGAGGATTCACATTTATCGAGTATAATAATTAATATCTCGCATAATTATTCAATATAATATTTATAAACTATAATTAAAATATTATTCGCAGAAGAATCTATTGCAAGTATGAATAAAAAACAGCTGATCGAATTGTTTAATAATATGAGAAAAAAATATGTCGAAACGATTAAAGAACATGTTGAAAAACTATGCAACTTAGAAAAGTATGCATTTTAATTATATTTCATATATACTATTACTATTCTTTTATTATTACTTTAATATTATAAAACAAAACATTTATTTTTTTTGCAGTTTTATGAGGGATATCGATAAACAATCGTTTAAAGCGTATATAACAGATGATTTGATAAAACGTTTGAACGAATTAGGAAATTCTGATATTAAAGGTAGCATGGAATCATTATTAAGATCTAAATATATTTAAATTATTTAAATTATTATGCTACTTTGAATTTTTCTTACATTAAATTTAATTCTCTTTTGAAATTTCTTATAATTCGCGCCCTGATGACGTCATCGCTTGAGACTGCAGCGCTTGATGCATGAAACGGAATGCATCTGCATTGCTCACAGCTGTGCATGTAAACACAATCTGTATATTATTTAATTTTTTTTTGTATAATGCAAAACATAATAATATTAATTAAACAATAATTTGATATATATTTTTGTAAATATATAATCACAAATATAGACTTACGTATAAAAATTAATATTCACAATATAATCTTTTTTATTAATACTGTTATTACTTAACCAAAAATAAAAAAAGAATAAGTTTAACACAATTAATTTATATAAATGTGTTGAATGGTTTATCATTGTTTGTGAATGTTTAATAATTTGAAATCAAGTTGAAATGAATCCTTTGACGTAAGTATTACACATTTTAGCCTTAAAATTGAATTATTTATTTTTTATTTATTGCATATGCACCATATATTTCAATGTCATCTTATATTATATTTGCAGTAACGTAAAAAATATAACAAAACTTGCTCAGCAAGATTTAATTGGTAATAAAAAAACATCTTGGCACGATCAATACAAAGATAGCGCATGGATATTTGTTGGTGGATTACCATACGACTTAACAGAGGGTGATGTTATTGCAGTTTTCTCGCAGTAAGTTCAAAATAATATTATTTTTTTATTTCAATATATGTATATGTACATAAAAGTATTCTAATTTGGATTAATAAAAATACTCGTTTCATTTTAATGATATAATTTAAGCAACTGGCTTTTTCAAAGAAATAGAATTTTAAATATTTAGTATTATCGCATATCAATATTCACAATGATATACTTTAGTTTCGTTCAAATTATTTATATTAGAGATACAAAATTGTATAATATATAATATATTTATATATTTTATTTATGTAGTATTAGATTTATGTTAGATTTAAATTAGATTGTTTAAGTTTACGTATTTATTGACATGGCATGTAAGTACATATGTGAGAGGCATTTGTTATTTAGATTATTATTATTACTATTAGTATTATTATATTACAGGTATGGTGAGATAGTAAATATTAATTTAGTACGTGATAAGGACACCGGCAAACAAAAAGGATATGGTTTTATATGTTATGAAGACCAAAGGAGTACTGTGCTCGCTGTTGATAATTTCAATGGCATTAAAGTATGTTAATAAAATATTCTAAGTTGCTGCAATATTAAAAATATTTTTTAATTAATTATATTAATTTTAATTCTGTTTAGATTTTGGGTAGAACAATACGCGTTGACCACGTGGCCAATTATAAAGCTCCCAAAGAAACGAAACATATTGATGATGAAACTAAAAAATTAAGAGATGAAGGTTGTGCACCGAAAAAATATTAATAAGTTAAGTTTGTCACGCGGATGTAAATAAAAAATAAACATTTATATTAATGTAGATGTATAAATTGAAGTATTTTTATATTAATTAGTTTTTTCTTTCTTTTTTTTTTTTTTGAAAATAGTGTATAATACGACTCACAAGACAATGTACTTAATATTTGTGCTTAAAATTTAATTATATACATATATGATTTCTTTTTTTGTGGTATTTCTAGTTTTTCCCAAGCTCTTTCTATATATCTAAAAATTATCAGTTATTTTGAGCATTTCAAAGTTCTTAAATGATCTTGGTAAATTTTTTGTTTTAATATATATTACACGTACGCGCGTGCATATGTGCATACATGTTTAAATAGAAAATTAATCTGGAATATATCTTAAGATACCGATCGATAGGTGTCATCTGCGTTAAAATAAGAAATAATTTTTATTGAGAATGTGTTATCAAGACGAACCAAATTCGCTCATCCATCTTTCATATTTCTCTAGATCTTCTTGAGATACACTTTTATTACATCTTTCTACGGCCTCGTCAAAATCCGTAGCAGATACCGGCAGATCTAATTCTTCTTTCGGTAATTGTCGTATCTGATCTGGCTTTAAACCAGCTATCTTTTTTCTCATCGACATCATAGAAGCATCTCTAAACGTAAAACGTCGTATAGATATTCATGTGTATCCATTTATTTTCTAATACATTAGATTTTGATTTATCGAAAGCATTGTACTTGTGATTAAAAATATATAAATGAAATAAAATGATATTTAGAATTGCACGTACCTGCATACATTCGTAATATCTGCTCCAGAATAACCTTCTAGTTTTTTTGCAATATCTGCTAGATTTACAGATAAATCTACTTTGACTTCACGAAGATTGATTCTCAATAATGCTTCTCTACCTTCATCTGTATAAAATAAAGATTATTTATTACAAATTAATAAATACTATGTTCGATTATATTATATGTTCTACGGTAAATTATTATAGTTCATATAATATACAAGTATGAATTATGAAAATAAATCATAAAACCTACGGTTTGGTAAAGGAATGTATATACGCTTTTCTAATCTCCTTCGAAGTGCTTCATCTATATCCCATGGAAAATTAGTAGCTGCTAATACCATTACCACTTTACTAGGATCTTCACTAAAAAATATAATTAATTTTTAATAAATAAAAACGAATACAATTTAATAGAATTATACCACAACATTATAATTCTTACTTATTTGAACTTATTCCATCCATTTGAACGAGAAGTTCAGATTTAACTCTTCTTGAGGCTTCGTGCTCTGATTCTGATCCTCTTCTAGAGCATAAGGAATCAATTTCATCAATAAAAATTGTACTTGGTGCATAAAATCTAGCCTGATAACAAACATATAAAAAGTTTTAATAAACACACATACAATTTATTATATAAATGATAATTATAATTATTATTACCATTTCAAAGAGTAATCGAACAAGTTTTTCTGATTCTCCCCTATATTTGGATGTGAGTGTTGAAGATGAAACATTAAAAAATGTTGTTCCACATTCTGTGGCTACAGCTTTTGCAAGCATAGTTTTCCCTGTCCCTGGTGGCCCAACCATAAGTACACCTTTCCATGGTCGCCGTATTCCCTAATGAAATAAAACATAATAATAATCCTGCTACCACGTAGATAATTATTAACAAATAGTTAATTGCACACACACATAATTATCTATAATTAAATATACCTTAAAAAAATCTGGCATCCACATAGGAAGGACGACAGCTTCCTCTAATAATCTTTTAGCTTCATGTAAATCTGCTATATCATCCCAATGAATATTTGGATTTTTTTGAACAATATCCCTTTCTACAAAAGTGCATAAAAACATTTTAATTTATATAACTATAATAATATTTATATTATGATACTTTAATAATGAATTTACCCAATAAATCGACAAGATCTCTATCATTTCCAGATGGTTCAAATTTACGTTCTTCGGTTTCTACTTCCACTTTTTCTGTTTCCGATCTTTCCTATACAAATATAATTAAATAAAATCAATTATTATAATCATAGTGTGTTATATGTAATATTTTATTATGATTAATATAATAGATAGAGAGAAACCTTGTTAGAATCATCTCGTTTAGATGTTCTCCTATCGTCTTTCTTGTTGACTGTTTTATTTTCTGTTTTTTTCCCTGTAGGAATGGATCTTCTTAAATTAGTACGATTCTGTTGTTTTTGCTGTACCTTTTGTTGTCTGGTATTTCTAAAAATAATATTAAATATTTAATATGTTAAGTGCTAAGCCTCTTTCGTTGAAATAAAATGATACTAAAAACTATAAAATTGTTTTCACTTTTGTTCGGCTGTACTTAAAGGTGGCCAAACATCTGGGTCTCGAGCTGGTGTTTGGTTCCATGAAACATCTGTATTATTATAAGGCCACGATGTTGGATCTCTTGTTGGTTCTTCAAAAGATAAACATGATGTACCTAAATACAAATATTACATTTTTATAAAACAAAACACACTATATGTATATATATTTGTATGTATAGTTTTAATGATGTTACCTATTATTCTATCACCGTGCGTGTCGACTTTGAAAAGTTGTAACGTATTGGATGTGGCTTTGACTTTTTCAAATTCTTGAACGATTTGATGTTGCACCAGTTGCCATTTAGCCTTTCTTGTAACATCAGCTATACTTGAAAGGAGTCTATGAATTTGTTGAACGACACCTTGATAATATACACCAGAAGTATCATAATTTCCAGTCAATGCCATTTCACGTGCCAACTTTGTATTTTCACAAATTTCACTTATAGATACTGCCATAATTTTTTTATTCTTCTTAATATATCCCAGATAAAAATTGTTATAAAATGATCATAAATGATTAAGATGATATAAATAAAATAGATTTTCTTTTATACTCTTTAGATATCAATTGAAAATAAACACTTGTTTATTAAAATTAAAACGCCCGTATTTCTCCATTTTTTTGTTTAATCACAATAAAAGTTCTGTTTTATCTTCTTACAACCAAATTTGGTAAATGAGTAATGCTTATTGTCTTTGTAAACACATTACACTCTCATATGTCAATTTGACATGTAATAATGTTAGTTTCATATTTAAAATTCAAGATAAAACATCATCACGATTTTTTTCTATTTTATTATTTTTTTAAATATATATTATTATTATTTAAATTAGGGTTTTATAAAAGTTATGAAATATTAAATTAACAATAACTGCATGCATGTATTCAAACGGGTTTATGAAATAATTTAGTATGGAAAAATGTTAATATGGTTATGTTTTAACGTTTGTTTAATGATGCAATTAATTAAAATGACATTGAATAATTAAATGAATTACAAATGTCATATACTGAAGAAACTACGGCTAAATATATAAACGAAAGTACAGTGGATAAAGATTCCGAAAATAAAATCATGAAAAATGAATGCGAACGCCATATTGTGAACCAATTACAAGCGGGCTTTTAGAAAATGGGCTAACGTGATACCTTCCATAAATATTTATTTATATAAACTCTAACAAAAAAAAAAACATAATAAAATTCTTTTCATAAAAAATCAACAAATGCAGTAATATTTCTGACAAATAAATGTAAGTGTTAGAATAACAATTATAATTTTTCTTTTAAATTTATGTAATCAAGAGGTTAGAGTATTACACTTATTATTTTATTTCTTGTTAAAATCTATCCTTCTCTAATATATTATTTGTATGTTTTATTTACAAATTAGAAAATTAAATATGAACCGGTTACCAATGCATGAAGCTTTAAAACAAATAGCATTCCTAGAAGGAAAATGGATCACCGATAACAATAATCCTGGATTAGGTAAATTTCCAACGATAAAACCGTTTACCTATTGTGAAGAAATTAATTTTACATCTATTGGCCAACCGATGTTCAACTACCTTACACAGAGTTGGCATCCTGCATTAAAGAAACCGATGCATCGTGAAACTGGATTCATGAAAATTATACCAGGAACTAATAAAGTATCTTTACTTCTGGCACATAATTTTGGATTGACTACGATTGAAGAAGGTACTGTTGTTGATAATATTATTAATTTAAAAAGCACTGGAATTATGAGACAAACTGAAGGAATTAAACAACCAGCTGTTGTTGAGGTATTACTGCATTTTTTAGTTTTCATTTGTATTATTTTGTGAAGCTCATTTTATTTATTTTTGTCTTTTATTATAGACCTACAGAGAATTCAAAATCAATGGAAATTCACTCGAGCATGTATTTTATATGGCTACTACAACTGTACCGGAGTTAACAGAACATTTACGTGTAACGTATACCAAAATTGCAGAAGACTCAGAGGAAAAATAAAATCATATGTTACTCTAACGATAAGTTTACAAATGAATAATGGTGAGTATAATTAATATTGGAATATATTGTAACATAAATGAGACTGTAAGCAGCTACCAAAACTATGGAAATGCATATAAGTAGAAATCAATTAATATATTTTAACACATGAAATGATTATAGTAAAGTAGTAATTTAAAAAAATAAAACATTGATATAAAGTTTTTTAATATACTTTTGGATTCACCCTGTATGATAGTAATATACTATAACGTTACTATTTTATTTTATTTATTAATAGTCATTCTTATCTCAAGGCTTAAGAATTAATATCATTATATTATATTATGTTATATATATATTATTACATCTTCCACTTGGCTGTAAAGCTGGGAAAAAAAAGATTATATATTATTACATCTTTTTAAAAATTTAGTTATTGTAAGAGTAAAACGTTTATATATAATATAATATAATATAATATAATATTATCTATATACATAATAAATATATAAATGGTATTATATATTACTAAAAAAATAAATTAAAAATAGTTTGATATGATAATAAAAAGATTTGTTAATAAGTTAATTGTAAAAATATCATTTATACCCGCATGTTATAGAAGCATGCAACGTATCCAACAACACCTGCGTGTTTGACTACCGAAACACCCCTCTTTCTGCGCGGCGCTTCATAAAACGCGACAGTTCCTCATTGTGTTCGTATGGTGAAGGGTCGTTCCTGCTCTCTCGAACAAATCATTTCATTATTAATTTCTAAAATATTTCATTAATTCAAAAATTGTCATTAAATGTAAGTGCAATTTTTTAATCCGAGTTATTCAAATTATTTACAAATTGACACAATTTTCAAAATGGAGAGGATCTAACGCGCGGTTTTAGTTTTTTCGATCATGTGACCGTAAAATATCGAATATCGATGTTGATCGATAAGCTGAAGAATATTTGAAATTAATTTTCATTCTACAGCATGACATCGCTATGTGATGCTCACGATTATTATAAAAAAATGCTCGAATTGCAAAGTAAATTGCGTAAAAGGTAAGTGCCCTTACATATTGCGTATTTCAAATATTTTTCAGTGTTTTCAATTATTCCTATAAATTATTTCTATTATTGTTCTAGCGAAGAGGAAAGGATACGATTGGAAGAACGTTTTAATTTATTGGTACAAGAATCTCGTAACAGGTAAACATCTAAAACCCTAATTATTTATTTATTAATTCTATAATTAATCTAAATTACAAATTTGTATCAAACAAAAGGTTGACAATCATTTTGTTTTAAATAATATCAAACTAAAGTTATAGTGTCAATCCCAAATTAAAATAATAGTAAAAGAAAACAATTCATTTCAATTAAATTCAAATATTAATCATCGCATTTACTTTTATAATATGCAATAATTAATTTTTATTTAGGGGAACAGATATTTGATTAATAATTTTAGTTTTCTTTTTTTTTTTTTTTTTTTTTAAATAAATACGGACCTGTTTACGTGTACGTGTGTGGGATTTTAGCATTGAGAAATTTCATCGATCGTAATACGAAATATAACTGTATTCCTACCAAGTTCGATATTCTATTGCGCGTATCATCCTTTAAAACGTCCTGTAGTTCTCTCATCGCGTGCAGACCTCCAATGCTTGACCTTCCCTTTAAATGTCACGAAATGTTTCTTTTAGATTCCAATTGTCAGCGTAAATTATTTTAATGACTATTCTTACAATTAATTCAAATTCTTTTCCATTTTACATTCCATCCTTTTTTATATTCTTTTTTGTTTGTTTGTTTTATTCGTTCTATATACAAATTAAATGATTTATTTTTTATTATTATCATCAGTAACAAATAATTAGGGATTGTAACTCAGTAATAGAGTGTCTGCTTCGCTTGCTAAAAGTCCAAAGTTCACACACATATCTTAGCTCCTTCAATAAGAAATAATTTTATTTTCAGACGAGATACTTGTATAAGCCGATTGCGAATGAAGTATATAGAATTTTTAGAAGAACAAAGAATAAGGGATGAAAGAAACCACAAACTTCTTGGCGCATTGGATAGGGTCGACAATAGTCTCTCATTAATGACCGCAAAAACGGAAAAACTTCATCTTTTCAGAGTGAGTTTATCTTTGACTATATTCTAATAATATTTTTTCTATGTATATAAATAATGTATGTAAGTATATGTGGATAACATTGCGTGCAGTGAAAGCATAATGCTTCCTTGTACCATGACGTTGTTAATTTGATATTATAACATTGTCTATCGATCGTATTAAACAAACCCTCTGATATTACATTTTTTATTTCAAATATTGTATTTTTAAATTAATATATTTTTTATCTTACAGAAACAGTACGAAACATATTTATTGCGTAATTACGCGAATCGTCCAAATCCAGGTAGCATAACTGGCGACAGTGGAGTCACAAGTCATATCGATGAAGGATATTCGAAGAAATCTATCGTGCAATCTAATCACCAAGTAAATCCAAACATTCATTTTTCTACTATTCAATTGAATACAAAAATGAGAGATAATCCATCGAGAAGCGAACAATTGTTGCATGTACAAAGTTCACCGCGAACGAGAATCGTTTCATCCTCTAATACTTTATATCACAAGATAAATGTTCCTCATAGAAGTTCTGAGTACGAAAGAAATGCTAATTCACCGAGAGATGTTAAAAATATAAATCAACGTTTGCAATTGCCGCAAATGTTATCTCAGATTAATCAACCGGATCAATCGTCGTTGAATCTTGAAAATAATGACTACTTTCAAGCTCAGTATTTGCCTGCATCGATTTTAGAAAACGTGGCCTTGAATCGATCACTTATTTCGCAATATAATAAATTATCAACAAGCCATATGGAACCAAACCAAAATGTTACACGTCTTGCTGTTAACGAAGCTTCGATTAATGAGAACATTTTACATCGTAATTCAATGAACGTTCCGCTAAATCAAATCCCGTCGACGTTTACTCAACATCGATCTAATTTACCAATGACACAGCACACGTTATACCGTGATACCGATTTAAATAAAAATATTCCAAGATCGGCGAATTTTCGTAACATAGCATCAATCTCTAGTTTGGGATCGGTGCCAAGAAAGATTCTAAAAGCTGATTCACCTCGTAGAATGCCGATAGAAGTGTCTCCAAGATCTTTCAAACAAATTGATTATTTCTCGACCTATAAACCAACGGGATATTCCTACGATAATTTAAAATCTAAAGACATTCCAACGGAATATTTACCACGAGATAATTCACTTTATCGTAATGTTCCAAACTTAAGTAATATAAGTTTGGGAAGAAAAATGCATGGATTATCGAATATTCCAAAAAAGAATTCGGATTTGGATGAAGAGATCAGGACTACGAGAAAATTGGAAAACGAGTTGGATAGATACATCGATAAAATTCATAATCTTCATCGAGAATTGGATGTACAAAGTTTGGATGAACATGATTACGAACAGAATACAAGCGGTGATCTTCTTAATATTACGCTTTCCGATGATGGAATAGATTATCCTACGGATAAAGTTAAAGATGAACGTGCGTCTCAAGAAGTTGCGAAGGTTCTAGCTTTGGCTGATGAACTTGCATCTAAAAAGCCTATTGTTAAAGAAATAGAATTATCTCCCGATGATAAAGATAAAGAAATTAATGGAGCTGTACCTAAAAATGATAGAAATACAAATCTTAATTCTGAAACGAGATACGACGTACTTTCCGATCAGACATTAGAAACATCTGCACAGTTGGAAAAAGATGATATTAATAATGATGTTGCATCGCATGATCTAGAATTAGAACAAGTAGACCAAAATATTCAAGGCCTTGAGAATGAGAACTGGAATAACACGAAAGTTAAAAATACACGAGATCCAAATGAAAACGAGAAAACGATTCTACAAAACAGTGCAGATATAAAAGTTGAAAATAGTAAAACTGTAGTAAAAGGTCAAAAGGAAGACAATGCATTGCAGAAAGGAGAGGAATTAGAAATTTTAGAACAATTTGTTAACGCTGAATACTTGAATCCTTGGGAAATTCAAAGTATGACTAAACAAATTCTAGAAATACAATTAGATGACACAAATAAAAATGATAATGATAATGAAACGGTGATCGTTACTGAAGATGATCACGAAAAACAAATTACAGAAACATTAGTAATTGAAGAGAATGAAACAGCGCAACCTGAAAACATAATCGTCGAAGAAATCGATCCAATTGAACAGCAGGATATGAATAAAGTCTCAGAGATAATTATGAATAGCGAAGATTTTCATGAAAACAACAAAATACAGGAAGAAATTGAAGATATTCCAGTTAAAAACGATTATCTTGAATATTCGAAGCAGCCTTACGAAGGTGAGATAGCCGACACTAAAATAGAAGTCATTGAAGAAGAAAATAATCAAATAATTGATGATAATCAGCAAGAACAATTGCAACAACAGAATACATCAGACGAGTATTATGCTTCGGGTGAACAAAATATTCAAGAATTCGATCAAGAAGTCACATACAAATCCGAGGTAAATGAAGAATTCATAGATCCAAATCAACAGTATAATTACGATCAAAATGCGTTAGATGAAGATAATATTAATCAAGAGTATGAGTCACCGATTACTTATCAAAATGTCAACCCAGAATATGAATCATCTATCGCAGATGAAAATGCGATAAAGACACAAGAGGAATATCAGGAACAGTATGAAGAATATCAAGGACAAGAATCTGGGCAAGAATATGTAGAAGAGAATCCAGAATATCGCGAGGACAATGTGTACGATGAAAATTATGATAATAATCAAATAAATGATAATGTAACGAATGAAGAATACTTGGAGGAACAGTACACTACTGTGCAAACTGTTCAGGATCCTATTAATACAGAAACTAATTACAACGTTGATAATACAGAAGCTCAAGATGTAATAGACAATGTAGAAAATAATGAAGTAGAAAAAGAATCAATAGATCAAAGTAATGTTGTTAGTGATCATGATCAAAAATCTATACCCGTAGAACAAACAAATCAATCAAAGAAAAAGAAAGACTTCATTAATTCTTTATTGGATTCTGATACGGAAAGTACGATTGAAAGAAACGTTTCGAATACGGAAAGTGATTTTGATTTTCAGTAAAGTTTGCTTAAATGATAGCGCGACTAAAGTTCTAAAGATATAAAACCATAGAATAGATCATGTATTTATATACGATTAGTATAATATATTTAATCATTGACTGAGAATATAACAGAAATAAAATTTTGTTTCCATTGAAATAGTATATTCAATTTTTTTATGGTTTCGTTAAACGTTTGTATATGTTTCTTTTGTTTTTTTTTTTATCAGATAATTAGCGCAATGATAATCTATGAAGTTAAGATTTGAAATTAAATTTGGGGATCGTAATTTTGTGCTAAATTTCTGATAATAGGACTAATATTAAGCATGTGAGAGAAATACATATGTGATATTCACTTGATATGGATTTTCATAGTCGACAGGTGTGAGTCTGCGCTAGTCGAGTGTCGTGGTTAACACAGCATCGTATCGTGCGACCAATCACAAATCGTGATGCACGCGTCTCACCATAAACAGTGCTGTAACAATTATTTTTTTTTTTAAAACACCCATAAGTTACATTCGGAAATAATATTTTTTACGCAAACTAATATCTGAATAAATTTTAAAAATATCATAGTTATACAAATCTAATTAAAGAATATTTGAAAATCAAAACAATATATGATGCAAATTTATCGTTAACACGTATTTATATCGTATGATATAAAATATTTCTAATAGTATTATTGAAATTATAGTATTGTTTGTATATAACATATTTAACAGTATAAATTTTGTCGGTGAGGTTTTGGAGTAGTTTGATACGGCCCTGACCGCATACACAGTAACTCTGGTATGCAGTAGTGACAGTCGCTGACCAGCAGCACACTCCAGCGTGTGTTGTGTATAATCGTTCTTCAATTTTTGATAGTTATTTTGTCATATATTCTGCTTAAAAAGTTTGAAATAATCTAATTGCATCCTAAATATTAATAGAAAGAAAGAGAAGTTAACAATTTTCTAATCAACGCACATGCGAGTGCTTCCATATGACTGTTGTAACATCTGAGAAATAAGTTCGTAATATTTGTTGTGTTTGTCGTATATATCAAGACGAAAAAAAAAATAATAAATACTTACGTCGTTCTTTATAGAAACGCGCGCTTATTTCAATTTGATTATTCAAACGAACGCCACGCGATTGGCCGAATTTTTTACCGGCTTGCATGTCGTACGTTTAATGCATTGTGATTACAGTTTGTCGATGTTTCTTTGATTATTTGTAAGTTCTTTTTTATTAAAAAAAAAAAAACAAAAAAAACCAATTAGAAAATTTAGAAATACATTTATAAACATTCCAAGAATCCTGTTTGTTCATCGTTTATAACTTATGTAAGTATGTTTATCGATTTTTAATGCACCACAAACACTCCCTTACAAATTTGTTCCCATCCCAAGCGCAGGATACACAAAAACAAATGCACAATCTTGTACTGTTGGGATCATTGTTTTTTAATTTTTAAAATAAATGTAAGAATTGTAGTGTCGAAGAAATGGGCCTTCATATAAACACATAACAACATAATGTAATCACAATAATCACATAAATATATAACACCAATTAATATTTTCTACAATTTCTAATACATAAATGCAAGACCCTAATTTTTCCTTGCAACCAAAATAAACAGAACTACTTAATTTATTTGTTTTACACACAAATACTTCGAATACATAAACATCTTATAAAGATAAAAATCTAGGGCCCCATGATCTAAAACAGGGTTCTAATATGTCCCACCATTTTGTTCTAGACACTCAATCAATTCAATAAAATAAATTCTTCGAAGGTTTTATGAAAATTTGTCGAGAAATTCTCAAATGAACGAACAATCATTTTGACATATCGCGCGCGGATTTTCTTTGTGAAAATTATTATTATTATTAATTTTTAAATTTTATATTTAATTATCTATCAATTGTTAGTGTATTATTTCAGTAAAATCATTGTTTTTAAATGAAACATTTTGATTGATGATTAAATGTATACATTTGTAATGTTGTGTCTCACATGTTCAAAGAAAATCAACGAATTGAATGCACTTTGCACCTGCGCATTAACTGCATGTATCTTGAATGAATAACAGTGACATCTTGGAAGTTTATTTTTTATAATTATTGATTTTTTCTGACTCAAATTCTTGTTTATTATTTATATATATATAAGAATAATTCTTCTTGCAGAAAAAGAATCAGTTAATTATAATTACATTATTTTATATAATAGTAATAGTTTCGAAGTATAGCATGTGAGTAACTATAGTTAAACAATGTATACATATATTGCATCACTGATTCATTTTTTGAAGAATTCTCATTCATTGAACTACACATTAATACTGAGAAACTCATACAAAGATTCTATTAAATGATTTAATGCACTATTGTATTAGTATAAAGTACCTAACATTTTTGAACATGAAACGATCAAATCCCTCCCCCTTAGATACTGTAATTTAACGAGCTTGAATTAACTTCTTCATGATCTATTAAAAGAACACGAATTTCTCCGAGGGTCTTTTTAAAAGAACGCTTTAGAATTTGTTATGTTAAAACGTAGTAATCAATAAAATTAACTGATCGTTATAATACATTTAAATACTTTTTAAAAAAAAAAACAAAACAAACATTTATTAATCTTTCAAAAAGTTTTCTAAAGAAAAATTTAATTCAATTTTTCACAATATTTTTCATTAATTTTATTTCACATTATTGTATAATAAAAAAAATATAAAATAATTATATATATAAAATATATAAATCATAATATATTTTTATTACATTTAAACTATTTTATTGAGTCAATTAATAAAAAGGTTAACAAGGTGATCAAAATAACGTTTGCAATAGATCATAAAATAAATTTGCTTCGTTAAAACTTTACCCCCTTTATTCGTTTACTACTTCCCCTAAAAGATAAAAAAAAAAAGAAAAAGAAAAAGAGAAAAAAGAGAAATGGCACAATTGCAGTGAACCATATTTGTATTTGCTTCTCATCATGGTTCATATTATTTCCTGAATGTAACCATTGTTAAATTGCATGATCAATCTGTCAAGTTTTAACAGGTGTATATATATATATATATATACGAATGTTCACAGGGAAAATATGGAGGATAGTGTTGCGGTTAACGGTGTAGTTGATGTAAATGGAGTAAATGACAATAACGTTGCATCCGATAGAATTTATTACGAATTGGATGGCGAAGGTGATGCCGATAGTTCTACCACACAAGGACACAACCCTGATCAACGTGGTCGTAAGTGTAAAACTAATTTATACCTTTTTTTCTTTTCATTTACTTATTATCAAATAAAAATGAGAGTATCAGTGCATTATTATGAGTTCATGAATGCAACCCCCCTCTACTACCACCACTACCACTTATTTGTAAATATATAATTTCATTTTAAAAATAAAACAGAATTATATATATTATATGTATAATATAGGGCCTTACACGTGTTGATAAGGGGTCCCCTGGCAATTGCAACAAAAAAATTCATCCTAAATTTTGTTTTTTCTTTTTTAATTAAAAATTATTGGGTTGCCCGCGAATAAAAAATAATTTTAAACGTATGTGTATATAAGTATTTTTCTTAAATTCAAGAACAATTTATCAGGATAAACCCAACAGGATAATAAATGAATGTTGTATTAAAATAAAATAAAAAAAAAAGACAAGAAATAATAAATGTAGCATAGAAAAGTGCTAACAAAGCACAGGGATCGATCGTTTAGCATCAACTTTGTTTTCTAACTCTATTCATCTCTATGTACACGTGTATATACCAAGTATATATATATATATATATATGCACATATACAAATACATACGCTATATCGATTTCTTACTCTTTAAGAAAACTTCACGAACTCCCATTAACTTTGCCTTTCGTGCTACGAAAGAAGAAAGCATTATATAAAAGCAATTTAGTGAATATTTATAATTTCTTGTCACACGATGAGGACCACTTGATGTTCACCTTTTATTACGCAATTGTCACCAAACGTGACGATAATAAAATACTTGATGTTCGTCAAATTATTCATTGAAACGTAACATTTAATTAACATAAGTCTCAAAGGGAATTTTAGACGGTTATTAAATCTTATGAACAATTCATTTTGAACTAGTTGTACGTTTCGTCCCTTACTGGGGACTTCATCAGCAACTTGATTTTTACAGTTCACGTGTCAATACATATTATCTTTTTTACAGAGTCATACATTTCAATAAAACTTAACATATTACAATACAATTTGATCCTAAACACCTTATCTTATCACACGTAATCAAATACTGATTCTATCTAGACTAGTGTTTAATAATCTAGGTATCTTCAGTATTGAAAATATGGTAAATATTTTTTATGCTAAAAGAGTGAATAAATTTTAATAAAACTTATATTAAATTAAAGTACACTCTTTAGTCTACGCGTAGAATACCATATGGAGTTATAAATTTAGCATTTATAGTTCAGAAAATGTCAGAGAATGCAATACTGTAAATTGTGCATCTTTGCAATTTTTTTAAAAAGTTTCGGTAAATATTTTTAATACTTTTTGCAAATGGATTTTAATGATTATGAATTATCAAAAATTTATGATTTTTATTTTGCACAAAATTACTAACCCGTGAAACAATTTGTTTGAATAATCCAATTATAATTATAATTATTTCGAAATAATCTTTGTGTGTGTGTGTGACACGTTTAAATAGTGAATGAACATGATATAAAAATTAATCGAACAGATTTTCGTTTGAATATTGGCATTAAGCCTGGGCCCACGTATTCTTATTCGTTTCTCCTTGTAGTATTTTTGACACTGTCAGAATATTTTCTCTCTGTCTCGGTTTTTCAACACTAACAGAGTTCGGGATCCTCCGAACGAGGTGTCGGTGGATGAACAGAAAGAAAATAACTCTCGTTAGTTTCAGTTTAGTATAGTTCAGTTCGGTTACCACGAACAGCAGTCAGTTAGTTCACACATCACTCACGTGCACTTTTGTATATTTATTTCATATTTTGATCACGTTCATTTTTATTTTGTCGAATAATTCGACTCTCGATATATTACACACATTCGTGTATTATTTTTAATTAAATTTAATTATTCTCGATATTATACGAATGAGAG